GGCCACTTTCTCTCCTAAATGTAAAAGGAGCAAGCTGTGTATTTTTCACTAGTGGTTTTTAATTTTTATATAAGAGTTTTATATGCTTCTGAACATACTTGAATTAAGTGCTATTTGGATTCAGAGAAATAGCCTCTGATGAGACTCTGCTTGCCTCACACAACATCTACAGAGAATATTTTAGTTTCCTTCTACGGGCCATAAAAATCGACTCAGTTCTTTCAACTTTATTGTCCAAATTTAAACACTGAATGCCTCTGGTGAGGCATCTAATTCCTGTTTTACAGAAAAGGCAGTGGTGAGAACTCTTACTGGCCTTCAGAAGGTTGCTTGGTTTGGCTTTTAGCAAAAGATCCCTTCAGGCTGGCCAGGCCACCTGCCTTTCTGTATGTATGTGATTCTTTCCCTTGTCCATGTGCCTGGACCTCTCGTGCACAACCACTAGACTGAATCTGTGTCTCTCCAAAGTGGTGGATTTATTGTACATGAGTGCCAGATCTGGTCCTTCTTGGAAATGCCTAACAGAAATGAAACTTTATATGAATGGAAGTGTGGAAGCCAATCCCTGGCTCACTCAAGGTGTTTAAAAGACACTTGGAAGTGGGTTGCTGCAATCAGATCAAAAGCTGTTGTCTTAAGTGTATTCTGGGCATCCTATTATCAGACCAGATGTGAGTTTGTCCAGATGGGAGAAAGGCTTTTAAGAAAGCCTTTAAGAAAGATGGGAATCCACAGCGGACACCAGCAGCGCAACCTATCTGGACTGGAACTCACTCTCAAGGGAATCAGTGGAAAAGGCTCACTCGATCAAGGCAACAGGCAAGAGAAGTGTCCTTGTGGCTCTGGGTTAAGTGGCTTTGTGGCTCTGGGTTAAGCACTCTTTTTCTTCATAATTGGTGGAAAATTGTTAGCCTTTGTCTTTTTTTGACATTACATGTAAACTTCTGTTGCAGTTATGTTCAGTTTGCAAAACTGTACAAGCTAAAAAGTGAACGACACCAAGCTGTGTTGTACAGTTGACACACTGGAGGGAAGGGATGCCATCCAGAGGGACCCTGACAGGCTGGAGAGGTGGGCCTGTGTGAACTGCGTGAAGTTCAACAAGGCCAAGTGCAAGGTCCTGCACGTGGGTTGGGGCAATCCCAAGCATATCTACAGGTTGGGCAGAGAATGGATTGAGAGCAGTCCTGTGGAGAAGGACTTGGGGATGTTGGTGGACAAGAAACTAAACATGACCTGGCAATGTGTGCTTGCAGCCCAGAAAGCCAACCATATCCTGGACTGTATCAAAATAAGCGTGGCCAGCAGTTTGAGAGAGGGGATTCTGCCCCTCTACTCTGCTCTCATGAGACCCCACCTGGAGTACTGCGTCCAGCTCTGGGGCCCCACCATACGAAGGACACGGAGCTATTGGATTGAGTGCAGAGGAGGACCACAAAGATGATCAGAGGGCTGGAGCACCTCTTCTATGGAGACAGGCTGAGAGAGTTGGGGTTGCTCAGCCTGGAGAAGAGACGGCTCCAGGGAGACCTTAGAGCAGCCTTCCAGTACCTAAAGGGGCCTACAGGAAAGATGGTGAGGGACTGTTTATCAGGGAGTATAGCGATAGGACATGGGGTGATGGCTTTAATCTGAAGGAGGGTCGATTTAGATTAGATATAAGGAAGAAATTTTTTACTGTGAGGGTGGTGAGGCACTGGAACAGGTTGCCCAGAGAAGCTGTGGATGTCCCCTCCTTGGAAGTGTTCAAGGCCAGGCTGGATGGGGCTTTGGGCAACCTGGTCTAGTGGAGGGTGTCCCTGCCCATGGCAGGGGGGTTGGAACTAGATGATCTTTGAAGTTCCTTCCAACCCAAACCATTCTATGATTCTATAATTCTGAATATATCCTTAAATGTTTTCCTTTAGTGATATCTTTGTAAAATAAAATGCAGCTATACAAAAAGAAAGGTGCAGAAAGTATCCAGAATAAATTATTGAGGGAAGTAAGACATCCCAGCTATAGTACTAGAGAAATATGTAAAGCAACTTTGATTAGTGGCTGCACAAACCTATAGCAGCAGTGACTTTAGCATTAACTTTTAAAAGGCTTAATAAGTCTCCTGAGGAAAAAAAAAAATTTACTACCCTTTACATTGGTCTGGCACCATCAATCTTCCTTAATGTGCTGATTAATGTGTTTATGATATCATCATCAATATTTCTTCGTTGATTTAAAAGCTGCTCAGTATGTCACGCACTGGGAAATTACAAAATATTTTTCTTAATATATGTATAATAAAACAAAGTAAATTTTGTGTATCTGTTTTCAAATATATTGTAAGTCAAGCATATATTGCTATATACTGAATAGCAATATAAACAGCTGCTATAAGGCAATATGGATTTCTCTCATCTGAAGTTGTTAATACTAACCACATCTCATATACTGTTATGGCTCTCTACATAAAGTAGATTCTTTATTTATGACACTTTAGCCACACAAATCCTTTTCCTCAAAAAAATATCTTTTTTAATATTTACACAGAATGGGTTAGGTTGTAAGGGATGTTTTGAGATCAACTAGCCCAACGTGCTCAAGCAGAGAGAGCTACAGCAGGTTGCCCAAAACCACATCTGGTTGGGTTTTTCAGTGTCTCTGCAGATAGAGACTCCACAGCCTCTCTGAGCAACTTGTTTGACCACTCTCACAGTGAAAAAATGTTTCTTGTGTTCAGATGGGATTTCATGTGTTTCAGTCTGTGTCCACTGCCTCTTGTCCTGTCAGCGGGCACCACTGAGAAGAGTCCAGCTCCCTCTTCTTCATTCCCTCCCATCAGTTATTTTTACACATTGTATATTAAGTATTCAAAGGCTACAAATAATCCTGGTAATATTTCACTTAAATGACAGTACTTTAGATGTGTTGAAAAGTTTTGCAAATACATTTTAGCAAGCATCTATATTCTCTCTTTGTGCCCTGCCAGTAGTATTTTACTGCAGCAAATCTGTTAAACAGCTTTTTCAAAATTTAAATAGTGCTAAACCAACTAAAAGTAATTCTCTATTGGTGAAACACACTTCATCTGTACATCAAATCCAAAGGAGCATCAAACATTAAGCAAATGAAATGAGAACAGATTGAAATCTCTATACACCAGCCAGGCAGGGTGCTAAGAGTGCTCAGGCTGCAGCTTTCCATCCACTTTCTCTGCTGCAGTGCTAACATAGTCAGTCCCTACCTTTGGCCACCAGCAGCTCCCCAGTGAACCATCCTGGGGCAATTAGTTGGTCTGAAAAATGCCTCCTTCCCACCCAAACGAGTTCTTATTTAGCCCAGTCAGTTCCTTGAACAGGTCTGCCTTCAAATTATACAAAGTTGTGCCTGTGCAGAGGAAAAGTCTGTGCACAACCAGAAAAAGAAGCTGGGCAGCTCTGACGATCAATGCGAAATTATACTTTAATCTACATCCCCAACCTGTCATCATCACAGCACTCTCCCAGTTTAAAGAGGATCACTGCAAGATCTCTGCACCATGCAAAAATAAACAAACACTCCTGCATGGCTGAGTCATTTCCATTACTTTGTGACCTGTCTATGCACAGTTTTAAGTGCTGTAAAGGGCCTAGCTTCAGATACCATAGTGCAATTTCATCAATGGTGCTTGAATTTACCTTTTAAAGCTCTAAGCATAAAACACTGACTCATGCTGTTCCAGGTATCTCATCTACAGCACTACTTACCCTCTTCTATCCCTGTACCCACTCTGCCATCAAACACCCCTTATCCACTATATCTTCCTACTGTTAAAAGTCAGGAACACTAGAGATGAAAGTGTAAGGGGCCAGAATTAGTTAGGAGGATTTGATAGTTCTGCCAGCCTTTATTTTCACTTGTAGCTAAATTAAACCCATAAACCAAGAAAAGAGCATTTTTTTGTGTCATTAAGTTAGTAATTTTAAAAATGCTTTTCTAGTAGGATATTTTGAGAAATGTTTATTATGTTTGGAGTTGATGATTATTAAGCAAGAGGAAACCAAAGAAATGCAAAATACCAGAACTTCACTTCAAAAAAGAGAAAGTTTTAAAATCTGCATCCAGAATAGTTTCTTGCCACTGAAGAAAGCCTGCATGGAATAGCCCTAGGAAGAGTTAAATGCAAAGAAAACCTCACAGTGGATTAACATGACCAAATTTTGCTCTGCATGCATTTTTAATGTGGTCCATTGCATCTTTCTTTTTCTTTCTCTTTCTTTTCTTTCTCTCTCTTTCTCTCTCTTTCTTCTCTTTCTCTATTTTCTTTTCTTTCCTCTTTCTATTTTATTTTCTTTTCTTTCCTCTTTCTCTTTTTCTTTTCTCTCTTTTTCTTCTCTTTCTTTTCTTTCTCTTTTTTTTCTCTTTCTCTTTCTTCTCTCACTCTCTCTCTCCCCCTTTCTGCCTTCCCTTCCCTCTCCCCTCCCTCCCTCCCTTTCTTCTCTCCCTTTATCTCTTTCTCTCTTTATTTTTATGACTGTATTTGGTTAGCAGGAGTTTACTATACTTTTAACTATATATTTATTCAGTCCAGAAATACAGAAAGGAAAGCTACAAATATTTTTCTGTATTGTAAATACTTTCATTTTTATACCTGTTTGGAAAAAGACTCTGGCAATTGTAGTGCGACACAGTGGACATGGGGTGCTGGCTGGATTGTCTTTGGCAAGCATCCTTAAGCAAGGTTCACAAAAGATATGATGGCATGGATAGCACATGTAAGGATTGAAATAAACATCCAGACACACTGCACAGAGATAGCTTTCTTTATCTCCTCTGAGTTCATGCTCATTGTCTGTATGCAGGTTATCATTTGCAATCTGCAGGAAGAAAAAGAAAAAGAAAACATTTTTTCACAGCTCAGCTCATAACTGGTTTGGATAAACCAATTGGCAGGAAGGTGACTTTAAATAATGCTTAAGAAGTTGGTACACATTGGTGATATTCTTAATTTTTAATACAGGTTACTTTCAACACGATGATGAAACATAGTGATAAGACAGAAATGTCACAACAAGCACTCTGTGGGAAAGAACAAAAATCATATGAGACATTAAAAGAAGGAAATAACAAAACCAAAAAGGCTGAGTAAAACCATACTATGATCAGATTTCTTCTTTTAAAATGAATTTTAACAATTTATTTGTAACTTTGTTACCAAGATACCTGGTTACTTTGCCAAGAAAGGCGAAACAAACCAAAAATCTCTAAAAATAACCTGTGGATTGTTCTGCCGTTGAAAGGTAATTTGTGAAGGGCATGTGTGGTGGGTTGACCCTGGCTGGGGGCCAGGTGCCCGCCAGAGCTGCTCTATCACTCCCCTCCTTCACTAGACAGGGGAGAAAAAGTACAACGAAAAGCTTGTGGGTCAAGATAAGGACAGGGAGAGATCATTCACTAATTATCATCACAAGCAAAATAGACTGAACTTAAGAGAGGAAATTAATCTAATTTATTACTAAGCAAAACAGAGTAGAGGAATGAGAAATAAAACCAAATCTTAAAACACCTCCCCCCACCCCTCCCATCTTCCCGGGCTCAACTTCACTCCCAGCTTCAACCTCCTCCCCCCCCAGCGGCACAGGGGGACAGGGAATGGGGGTTACGGTCAGTTCATCACACAGTGTTTCTGCCGCTTCTTCATCCTCAGGGGGAGGACTCCTCTCATCGTTCCCCTGCTCCAACATGGAGTCCCTCTCACGGGAGACAGTCCTTCATGAACTTCTCCAATGTGAAGCTCTCCCATAGGCTACAGTCCTTCACAAACTGCTCCAGCATGGTCTCTTCCATGGGGTGCAGACCTTCAGGAGCAAACTGCTCCAGCATGGGTCCCCCACAGGGTCACAAGTCCTGCCAGCAAACCTGCTCTGGCGTGGGCTCCTCTCTCCATGGATCCACAGGTCCTGCCAGGAGCTTGCTCCAACGTGGGCTTCCCACAGGGTCACAGCCTCCTTCAGGTGCCTCCACCTGCTCTGGCGTGGGGTCCCCCATGGGCTGCACGTGGAATCTCTACACCCCCTCATCCTTCCTCCATGGGCTGCAGGAGGACAGCCTGCTTCACCATGGTCTTCACCACGGGCTGCAGGGGAATCTTGCTCCGGTGCCTGGAGCACCTCCTGCCCCTCCTTCTGCACTGACCTGGGTGTCTGTAGAGTTTATTACATCTTCTCACTCCTCTCTCCAGCTGCAAAGGCTCTAACTGTTTTTTTTCTTCTTAAATATGTTATCATAGAGGCACTGATTGTCTTGGCCTTGGCAAGCCTTGGCTCCATCAGCCACGGGAAGCTTCTAGCAGCTTCTCACAGAAGCCACCCGTGTAGACACCCCACCCCGCCCCCGCTACCAAAACCTTGCCATGCAAACCCAACACAGTATGTTTCAGCAAGAATAATGACTCACAGTTTGAAACAAGCCACAACTTTTTTACTACAATCTACAGAATCTAAACCTTAGAGAAGAAAGTCTAGGAACCACTAACATCTTCAGTAACTGCTTGTTTTTGCCAGCACGTATGCTCCGAATTTCCTTGCATTGATGTATTTGTAGAGGGACATAGCTGGACTTCCCAAAAGGTGTACATGCCATATGAGTGTAGCAACATGTATATTGCTCTTGTAAGATGACTGAATCTTTCCATGTAATCTGAAGATATTACACTAATGGCACCTGGGGTATTTGGCTTAAAGAAAAAAATATTTTTTTTTCATCGCTATGGGAGCCATACAAGAGACATTGACTTTGCTCTAGCTCCTCTATCCACCCCCTCTGTTTCACAGGTAACAGAACCCAACGTAGCCCAATATGCAACTGCCTTGTAGTATCAGTGACTTCTTGCCAGCTCCAGTATCCATACTTAATACTCTCATGCCCCTTGCACAACCACTGCTCTGTACCTACGTCTTTTCTAGTCCTTCAATGCTAGTCCTGAAAGTCCTTCCAGACACCTATTATTGACACCTGATGATGCATTTCTACCTAATAAATACTACTCTGTGCTAGAGCAGCTGCTTGATTTGCATTTGATTTGCATACCCACCATCTGTATATTACACAGGCCACTTTTGACATTTATAGGTCATGGCAGACAAGCACTGCCTGATACTGGTATACCAAGTACTAATGACAATTGTTATTTTGTGCCGACTGCAGAGATGGGAGTCTCTAGATCTGTTTCAGAGATGATTACACATACGGCTCACTGGTTTGGACTTCTGTTGTTTCTCGTCATAGTCAGTCCTCTTCTACCTGGGATACTGAACACTGCAAATAATGAGTAAGCCTTAACAGTATGGGAAATGTGGAATACATTTAAAAACACAGAGCAAAAGTATTTACCCAGAATTTATCAGTTCTGGATAAGCACTCGTCCTGCCAGTCATCTCAGCCTTTGCATTGCACCTTCCAGAATACCAGTTGCCAAGGAGGCTTACAAATTATGGTTTGCTATGACACAAACAGTCTGGCTTTAGCACTGTGTCCAAATGTAAGCTCTTGTGCAACCCTAAGCATCAATAACTGTGTGGCTCTTGTAGTGCTTACCTCAGCACTTATCACTCCAGCTTGATTCCTCCATGCCAGACTTGAGATGGGCCCAGAAAACTTCAGCGCGTACTGAAATTTACTGCAGAGGCAACTAAGCTGTACTGACAAGCAATCAGTGTAGGTCTGGCTGGAACTAGCTTCTAGCTTCCCTAGCATCTATAGAAGCTAGTCCCACACAGTAACAACTGGGACTATTACTTCTAGTTCCATGCTGTGCTTGGAGCAGCACTGTATTAGAATTGATCAATAACACTGTTTATCCCAGACTGTCTCTACACTTACAGCACAGACAACCTACACCAGAACAGAATGGCAAAAGGTAATTGAGAGCTGATTATGGCTAAGTAATTTTAGAATAAAGGAAGCCTCGTAATACCGTTTCTTTGACAAAAAGTGGGAAATAAATTGCACAGAAAGTGAGAAAAGTGGTCTGAGCTTAATACATGACAGAGATGACTGGCAGAAATTAGGAAACACTAACACATTGTGACAATAACAACCCTCTCCATCCTAGTCATATGGACTTGGCAGTGCTAGGTTAATGGTTGGTCTCAATGATCTTAAAAGTCTTTTCCAAGCGAAATGATTCCACGATTCTATGACTCTATGTAAGGATAAAATCATAAATAATAGCTAGCACAAAACCAAACGAGGCAGGGGGGAAGCAAGCTTTTGCTGCCTGGTTTTGATGAGCACTGATTGGAAATGAAATACACAGTGTGTACAGAGGAGCTGCCTGTCTCATTGGCTGCAAGTTAAACATCTTGCATGAGCCAATTAAGTAAATGAGGGAGCTAGAGGCAAAATGGCTGAGGACTCAAGGGTAATGGTTGGTTTTGAGATAGGTTTGTAATCACTGTAAGATGCACAGAGAGGAGAATCTCAGAGACAACTGCAATTAGAAAGAAGATCAAAATTAGTCTAATGTGCAAACTAGACTCTAGTTTGCTTAGTGGATCAGAGGAAAAGCTGTCTTTTCTACAACTTTGTGCCTCTTGTCAAAAGACCTATCTAGGCACATGGCATCATTTACTACTGCAAAGCTAAAATCAGAGCAACTTCCTTATCCAAGAAGCTAATGAACAATAATTTAAACAGGCATTCTTTTCTTCTTTGCAATTAAGCAGTGCCTATATGGTCTAACTACAGCCAGACCTTTGGTGTTTGAGAGCTTTACAGGCTTAAACCAGAATGTTCTTGCGGAATTATAGTACAGACAAAACTGATAAAGGCCACATGGACATCAAGGACAGTGATGGGAGTAAAAGATTGCCAAATACTAACAGGAAAACCCTGAAAGCAAAACTGTAACTCCTAAGAAATGAAAGAAAGGCAAGAGCCTTCAAAAGTTTCCATCCTCCCAAGTCACTTGGGAACCGCTAATACTGACTGTATCACCTGATGGTAACCCCTGATATTTCACTGGCTGGATGGCAGAAGGATGTTAACAAGAAAAAAAAAAAGAGAGGAACAGAGGATTTTCTGCTTGAAAAACCTATCAGGAATGTTAATTAACAAGGAGTCTAACATAGTTTGGATTGACTACATGAAAGTATTTGACTCAGTCCCACACTCAGAGAGAACACATGCACCAATGAATAACATACTTAATGTAAGATTTACATGTAATCATGTGAAAGACCTAGAACTAATGGACGTAGACACTAATGGGAAAAAATGGTATATGTATGCTAACAGTAAAAGGAGGTTCACAGTAAAATCTGGGACTTATGATCAGAACAGTGATAAAACTAAATAAAGCACATATAACATTTGCCCCAAGATGCCAAACTATGAAAAAAAATTTGCAAACCCCTTCATTCTAAACTGACCAATTTAGAATGCTTTGTAAGCTCAAAAATGTCCACACTTAAAGGGAATGATGACCCAGAAAAAAATCAGTTCTATACTTCACATGATTATCTTGCAAAGATAACTGCCTGAAATAAAACTTTGAAAAAAATACATAAAACTGTATTTCATAGAAATATTAGCCCAGTAAAGATTAATGATCAAAGGTGGAATTTTTTAAAAGGCCTTGAGGTTAAGTAAACATCAGAGAAAGTTTCCCATATATTTCACTTTTTAAACAAAAGAATGAAAGCTTAAAGATACTTGTGTATGCTTTGTCAATGCAAACACAACTCCAAATTAATTAGTAGTTGACTTACTATTAAGGCATAATAATTGTGCCAATAAATTGCCCTGAAATGACAGCAGCAGAAGAATCTAAATGTCTCATAGGGCTACATTCTTCTACTAACCAAGAGTTAAAATA